GCGGGGGGGTGTGGTGGCGGCCGGGGGGCCCCCCGCCGAGCTCCTGTGCAGGCAGGAGGCTCCGGCAGGGACCGGGGCTCCGATGCAGCCCGAAACCTCTCGCAGAAAGCGGGGAGAAGCCGAAGGGCTGGTGCCACTCCGTGCGTGCGATGGCTCTGCAGTGTCCCACCCACCTCCCGCCGTCTGTTCTGGTTTCCCTTCTCCCTCCCCCCTGTTGCTATTTATCCCAAATGCCATTTTTATCTCTCTTCATGCTCTGACTCTACATCCGAGCTGCGGGGCAAGATGCTGGTAATTTCCATGCCGCTTGTAACATAAAAAGCAGCGTTCAAAAGCTTCCAGAAACGCATCAGACCTGCGGCCCCAGGAGGTGCAGCGGTGTCCCCGATGCCATGGCCTGCTGCTAACCTGGGGGGGGGGATCTCTTTCTAACGTGGTCGTTTTGACAGGGAAAATGCTGGAAACGAGTCAAGTGGAGGATTTTTCGGCAGCGCGGAACGTCCTCGTGGTTCGGTATCGCCCTGAAGCCCGGTGGGGCAGTGGGAAGCGGGGTGGGGTGGGGTGACACGAGCTTTCTGACCCCAGTGTTTCAGAGCCTGGCGTTGGACTCGGTCCGTCTTCGTTACTGGTAATTAATGCCAGGCGTTCACTGCTCCTCGCTGCTGATCTGCAGCTCAGACCCAGCGTCTCTGGAGGGGGACACCCGACGGCACTCTGCGCTTGGCAGAGCCTTTCCCAAGCAGGAGAGCTCCTGTTTTCCCTGGGTTAGAGTTTCCGTGCAGAGGTGGCTCCGGATGCAGCCGGGCTGGCTCTCCGGGGTGGCGTTGAGCCCCGCAATTTGCTCCTACGCAGAACCGAGCCGCACGCACGCCTCTGTCCTCGTTAGCCTTGCAATTCACAGATGCAAAGCCGAACGCCCCAGACAGATTTTTTTTTCTTCACCCCCCCTCCTTCCTAAGAGCTCATCACCCATCAGTTCCCGTTACACTCAAGGCCGAGCGCTTTTCAGAACCTTCCGTGTGTTCAGCTGCCAGAATGGGCCTTTGAAAACCTGGGCTCCACCTCTGCGTCGCAGGCCGGGGTGTTGTGAGTGGTTTGGGAGCGAAGCTGCTGTGGGCAGCCCCCCGCCGCACGCTGCTCCATCTCTGAAGCCGCTGCACTGGCAGGGGCGGGGGCCCTCCCCCCGCGCGGGCCCCGGG